AACATGCAAATATACTTCAACCTCATTCTTAATTCCTGTTGAACTAGAAGCTACCCTTCGACCATACTAGAGTTCGATCTAACATCTCACAAATTTCCACCTTAGATCTAACTCTATAACATCAAGAAACTAGCTTTCTTCATGCAGCTTTATCAACTGCATACAGTGGAAAAACTTGCAACTAGGCAACGTCTTGGTGATCATATCAGCAGTATTATGATCTCTCTAAACCTTCAACACTTGGACTTCTCCACGCTCGATTACCCCTCTGACAAAAAGCAACTTCACATCAATTTGCTTGGTTCCCTCATGATAGGCTGAATTCTTTGACAGGTGTATTGCGCTTTTACTATCACATTTAACAGTGATAAGTCAACCTTAAATTTTCATCTCTTTTGCAAAACCTTCAAGCCATAATGCTTTGATATGTTGCTTTCCATTAGAATATCATCCACATAGAGCAACAAAATAAAAAATGAATTACCCGGTCGAAATCTGAAGTAAACACAGTGATCGAACTGACTTCTGATGAAATTTATGCGTGCCATGAACTTGTCGAATCTCTTGTTCCACTGTCGAGGAGATTGTTTCAGTCTATATAAGGATCTATTCAGCTTGCATACACAATCTTCCTTCCCTTTTTCGACATACCCTTCAGGTTGCCTAATCAGGATTGTTTCATCTAAATCACCATACAAGAATGCACTCTTCACATCCATTTTCTCCAGTTCAAGGTAAAAAGTGCCATTATGACAAGAAACATTCGAATGGATATGTGCTTCACAACAGGATAGAACACATCATTGAAGTCGACACCTTCTTTTGGAGTGAACCCTCTAGCATCCAATCTTTCCTTGTATCTCTTCGACGCCACTCCTTCGATTCCTTCCTTAACTTTGAAAATCCATTTACAGCTGACTAACTTGGCTTCAGCAGGTTTCTTGATCAGTTCCCAGGTATTATTATCATGAAGAAATTTCATCTCATCATCTATGGCCTTCAGCCATTCAGTCTTCTTTTGACTCCTTATAACTTCCTTATAGTCTCTAGGTTCTTTGTCTAGAACCTCACTTGCAGAGATTAAGGCATAAGCTATAAGATCTGCATACTCAAGTCTCGGAGGTGGCTTGATGACTCTCCTCGACCTCTCTCTTGCTAGCAGGTAGTCATTGTCAGTCTCCTCATCTTCGATAACATCTTCTGCGTCTTTTTCGACTTCATCTGGGGTACGCAATTCAGTATTAACATGCTCCATCTCAATAGGAATCTCTCCCTATTCCAGCTCTTCGTCAGCATTATATGTTTTCTTGAAAGCCATCTTTGCTTCATTGAAAACTACATCTCGACTGGTGATACACCTCCTGTGACCTGGCTCTAGGCACCATAGCCTATAAGCTTTGACTCCTTTAGGGTATCCCATGAACATGCATTTCAGAGCTCTAGGTTCGACCTTGTCTTGCCTAATATGACCATAGGTCACACAGCCAAATACTATCAGTCTGTCGAGATTAGGTGGATGTCCCGACCAAACTTTTTTAGGTGTATTCATTTCCAAGGTAGTCGAGGGACATCTATTTATTAGGTAAGTTGCTGTCGAAACAGCTTCTGCCAAAACACCTTCTTCAATCCAACATTTACCAACATGCATCTAACCCTTTCAAGGATTATTCGATTAACTCTCTCAGCTAAGCCATTTTGTTGAGGAGTATTTGCTACAGTCTTATGCCTTACAATCTCAGACTCAACACAAAAACTGTTGAATGCTTCGTTGCAGAATTCAAGGCCATTGTCGGTTCTCAACCTCTTAACCTTTCTGCCAATTTGAGTTTCGACCAGAATCTTCCAACTTTTGAAATTCTCAAAATTTTCATCATTCGTCTTCTAAATGAATACCCATAGCTTTCTGGAATAGTAATCAACAATGGATAGAAAATACCTTGCACCTGAGTGTGAAGGATTCCTTTCAGGCCCCCAAAGATCAGCATGAATGTAATCCAGGGATCCATGTGATCTTTGCTTGCCTTTGTTAAACTTCACCCTACATGATTTACCAAATACACAAGATTCACAAAACTTCAACTTTTCGACTTTGTCACCTCTTAGAAGGTTCTGCTTCCCAAATTCGACCAGGCCTCTTTCGTTGACATGGTTTAATCTCATGTGTCATAATTCTGTCTTCGACACATGTTTCGTGGATGTAACATTTGTCGATTCACTTACAACCTCGGGCTCAAGGGTATACAAGCCTTGTTTCTTCACGCCTCTCAGACTTCCTTCGACCTCTTCATGACTCTTAGGATATTTTTCTCTTCTTGAAAACATATCCCTTTCTGTCAAATTCACCAAGAGAAATCAAATTTCTCTTCAGGTTAGGTACATACTTGACTTCAGTCAATAACCTTATTGACTCGTCATGGAGCTTGAATCTCACAGATCCAATACCTATAAATTTACAAGATTTGTTATTTCCCAGCAGCACAGATCCACCATCTTGATCACATAGATCCTCGAACAATTCTCTGTTTGGAGTCATGTTCCAAGTGCAACTGAATCCATAATCCACTCTTTTCTCGACTCGCCACTTGAAACCACAAGAACATCAGATGAGTCGAAGTTATTTTGAACAAAGGCTTCGTTGTCATTACATCTATGATCTTTCATGCGTTCAGGGCACACCTTTCTTGTATGACCCTCATTCTTATAGTGATAACATCAAATGTCAGATGTTTCTCCACTATAAGTTTTCTGTTGACTTTTATCTTTCTTCTTGTCGAACTTACCATCCTTTCGCACGAATTTTCCCTGAATGGCCAAACCTTCGTCCACCCTCGAAGGGTTATGCTTCTTTCGTTCTTTCAAATCCTTAGAACAAGGCTGATTGAACTTCTTCAAAGGTCAGTGACTCTTTTCTATACAAGAGAGTTTCTTTGAAGTGAGCATGTGTTTTAGACAAAACACACAGCAGCAACAATGTTTGATCTTCATCATCGATCTTCACATCAATATTTTCAAGATCAAGAATCAGCTTGTTGAACATATCCAACTGCTCAGCCAACACTTTGTCTTCACTCATCTTGAATGAATACAAAGCTTACTTCAGGTAAAGTCGATTCACCAGAAATTTGGTCATGTACAAACTTTCAAGTTTCACCCATAATCCTGATGTTGTAGTCTCCTTTGATACTGTCGAAGAACCTTATATCTAAGGCTCAACAATATTATGTTGTGGGCTTTCTCAATCATGCCCATCTTTTCTTTTGCCGTTAACGCAACGTCCATAGCTGCCTCTCCCTTAAACGCTTCCAAACAACCATGCTGAACCAGTAGGGCTTTCATCTTCAAGCGCCACCGACCGAAGTCGTTCACTCCAGTGAAATTTTCAATCTCATACTTTGTTGAAGGCATCTTTTCCACGCTCACTGCAACAATTTGTTGTGAATCAGATGTCCTGAAACAAAATATAAAGGGTTTCTTTATGATCAAGAAACACACAAGGGTTAGGGTTAACAAAGATAACAAGGTAAAATAACAAGAAACAACAAGGATTTGTTATAAACTGTTATTCTTTCCTTACTCTTAGAACAAGATTACAAGTATACAAGAATAACAAAAATAACCTCTCTCTCTTGAAATTAGGATTTTATCTTCCTATTTTTTCTTATGCCAAGATTGAGAAACTAGCATCTTATTTATAAGAAAAATAGCACACTAACCTAATGAGCTTTTTAACAATTAATCATTACAAGTTAACTTAGGGTACAAGGTAACATAAGCAATTGATCTTACAAGTAAGGCCCAATTCAACATGCTAACAACCCTAGCAAAATTGACTAATGCATGTTAAAACTAACTTCGACAACAACACGCATTACTCCGGTAGCAGCATGCGAACACACTTCGACCTCATGCTTAATTCTTGTCGAACCAGAAGTTACCCTTCGACCATACTAGAGTTCGATCCAACATCTCACACGGACAACCAACGAAAAGATGATATATATCTTCTTCTACATTAAAACAAAACACACCGACTTTTTCATGAGTATTTGTAATAATACCTTTTGCCATGATTTTTTTTCAACACGATCTAAACACTAAAAAGATGAATGAGTTTGGTAAAAATAAGTCAATGTATTGAACAACTTGCTTAATTTTTTTTAATTAAGTAGTTTAATGTCTTGACTATCAAACCTAAATGTAGAGAAGTTAAAAAACAAGTTGGAACAAAAAGTTTTGCATATCAACGTTTTAAAACTATCAACTAAATTGAATCTACAAGATATGCGTAACAACTCTAAAATACCAAATATCAATGTTCTTTTTTTTGGGTAATTATTCATTAATTGCTTTTGAGAGTCAAATCCCACAAAAAAATTTATTATAGAAACCTATACTTTTGTTAATGAAAACTACTTGCCAACTCTTAGTCTTTAAATTAAATTTATTTTATTAAATAACAAGCAAAAGAATTCAAAACTCCAGTCCTAATAGCTGGATTCGTTATATGCAAGAACAAATAGTTAAAAGACAACTTATAAAAAAAAATGTTAAAGTACAAGCTGACTATGACTATGGAAAGAGTTGACTCTAACAACCTCAATTATGCAAAGATTGTTTAGTATTATTTCTTGTTTTATCCTTTTCTTATTATCTACAACTTGAACCTTTCATAAAACAATGACTAAGTTGCAAAATTTTTAGTCAAGTCAATAAACAATGTTTCCACACCCATGCATTATGTATATATCATAACATGTTCTAATCACTCAGTTCCAAAGCAGAAGACAAATAGGAAGAATAAGTTTGTTTGTTTCCAATCACAAAAACAAAAGAAGCAAAAAGTCTCTGTTTGTTTCAACTAAGGAAGGATGAAGGTTTGATTAGTTAGATAATTATTATTGAGTTTTTCTTTTCTTTTTTCTTCTTCTTTGTGGTAATTTTTTTAATAAACTATATTTGTAAAATGACAAATACAGCAAAAAATAGTTATAAAGTTGCAAATGGATTGTGACAAATGCAGAAACAAAGCCCTCAAAACTGCTGCTGAGGTCAAAGGTATTCATCATGCCAATCCCTTTATTTCTTTGCAATTTGCATGGTGATTTTTAATGCATATTAATTTTAAAAATACCAAAGAAACTTAAATATTACTATCTTTGGTCATATTTATCGAGATATTTAAGTTTTAAAAAAAATTAATATATTTGATTTAATATATGAATTAAATATATCAACTTTTGTTGATTGAATAATCTTTTATAAAAATGATTGGAATTTTTTATTAAAAATATTTTTCTCATATTGTATATTTACTGAATTGCTTTAGTAGAGCATTGCTTTAGAATTTACAAAAAGTCCACATAAAAAATCTAAAGAAACAAAATTAACTACTATAAGAAAGAAGATAAAAAGAAATGGAAATAATGGATGGAATTAAAAAAAATGAAATTTTGTTTTCAATTCTTGTCTTTATTATTTAATGATGAACTTAATGAATAACAAATTATCATTATTTTTTGCGTGCTTAAATTTTATGGAAAAATCAACTTTTTCAATAGTAAATCACAATTTGTGTTATTTAAACATCAAAATTTTCACATGCTCTAAGTATTTATTTTTATCTCTATATATTTTATATTCTACACACATCATATAGTACTTGATATCTAAATAAATATTTTTGACATTCCCAATCTCGCCCTCATTTTTTTTTTAATACCGTGGTGGGCGCGGTACGTCATAATATCTCGATCTTGTAACACCCCGTTTACAAAAACAAGTTTTTGATAAATTTGCGTCCATCTTCAATTAAATCAGTTTTTCGATAAATTTGGAGTGATATTTGGGTTAATTCGGTCGGGGTCATATTTTATTGGCATTCCTACAACTATTTTAATGTCCTAACATTATTTCCCAATCACAAATATATATACTAGATTTATTTAGCTATAGTGCATCTTAAATTGTTATGACTTATATAATCAAAAAATGAAAACACATTCATGTATAGGTGTAACATCAGTTTCATTAGAAGGAGATGATAAAGATAAGGTATCTGTTACCGGTGATAATGTAAACACAATTTGCTTAGCCAACCAGCTAAAGAAGAAATTCAAAAATGTCACAATTCTAAGTGTGGAAGAAGTGAAAAAGAAAACAGAAGAAGAAAAGAAAAAGGAAGAAGAAAAGAAAAAAGAAGAAGAAAAGAAAAAGATGATGGAAGCATGTCGTGCTGTTTTGCATGGCTCATGCATCAAGTGTCATAGCATGAGTTGTAATGGTAAGTGTTCGTGCACAAAATGTTCAAGTCCAAAGTGTGATGGAAAACTTTGTTTCACTATTTGCTTTAAGTGTGAGAATCCAAAGAGTTGTTGTGAGTGTAAGCCTGCAAGTTGCTCCAATTGTGACCACAAAAAGTGTGATGGTGGTTGCAAATCTAAGAAGCCTCCTTCACCATGCTCTCAACAATGTCCTCCGTGGTGCACATGTCAGAAGTGTTGTGCTCGATATCAATATCAACCTTGTTACAACCCGTATCCACCTTATTGCACGGTTGGTTACGAACCATGTCCCGATAATTGCTCCATCATGTGATTCATATATACATATTTGATTCTCTAAAAATATGACACTGTACTATAATTATAAAAACTATTAAATTTTGAGAGATGAATTTCATTTCTCAAAATTCAATAGTCTTTCCTGTCTCTATACCGTGTCACGTCTGCAGAGAATCCCCTTATACGGGATCCACAAGTAAAGATTATGGGTTAAATAAAATTTGCAAGCATTGTCTCATTATAAGATATTTGTATACTTGTATACAATAATCATACATGAAAATAAAAATAAAATAGTGACGAGATTATGAGATGAAAAAATATGAAATTTATCTATCTAATTCTATCATTCAGTGATTAAAGAACTAGTGATGAATTTCATTTTTTAATTCTCAAATTTTGGTTACTAATATTATTTTCAGTCCTACCTAGTCCATTAAGGAAGGTGTTATTTTGGTTTGCATGTATTCATTTATCATGTAAATTTCTGAATATGCTTTGTCATTTTATTTCTGTTTGAGCTAGTTTTAATTGTATATCTTTCCTATTCTCTCTCATATCAATAATAAGAATAAACTTTGTTTTCAAGCAATTGTTTTATTGAGTAATGCACAGCACTTATTTCAAAGAGTGATGAAGTGATATGAGAGAAAAATATAAGAATTGGAGAGATAAGACGTGTATTAAAAAAAGTAGTACTTTGATCTAAATAATAATGTATAATCTATCTGTCCATATTTGCTAAATGATTCGTTAGGTAGGATTAATAATAATTATATTGTTAATTAAATATAATATGTATAAAATATTATAATATATATTATTGTAGAATTAAAGGTCTGGTCATTAATTTCACACGATTTGCATTAAATATGATTGTAATAAATATATAAACTTTCAATTATTGTATGTTGAGATAGACATTGATGGAGTTCCTTAGCTCTTTCCGGAACCTCCCTAATTTAAGATTGGGACCAGTTAGAGGTATAGTTTCATTCAGATTTTTTTAAGAGACTAGCACCTTAATCACAACGAGTTAATCCGGCTCCTAGCATTTTAACATGGTCCTCATGTCTATTCTGAAGTACTCACTCATTATGACATGCATGTTGAATTAAATTATTTCTAAGATGAGATTACAGAAGATTATCCACCGGACTATATCAAAATGAACTAGAATTTTATCCGTAATCCAACCATTACGTATTTTTAAATGGTTGTGACTACAATTTCTTTGAAAAAGTTAGGAACATTGGTCCAGTAATAAAAGACTTATTCTTTAAGTTTAGTATCTTTCAGTCTATGCCTATATATAATCTCTGTTGTTTTCTTTCTTGTCGGTTTAGAGAGGGTAATTAATCAAGTGGTAGAGAATATTTATGTAGGCAGTATCGTGATCCATATAGTCATAGCTTTAGACCTACGTAACCAAATAACTCAGTTGACCCCTTGGTGTGGATACGATTTGCAAGATATAGATGAATGCCTTAATAACGGTTTAGTGAGGCGTGAGAGTTATCCTTAGCGAATTGGTTTAACAATTCACCCTGCCTAAACCTGAGAAGACCAGTGTACACAATCGTGAGAATTGGCTCTACATTTTAGAGAATCAGGATGAGTCACCCACCCCACCTCAGACTCCTACTGCACCTGAATACCACCCTACTCCATCATTTGCTGCTTCTTCTTCCTCTTCAGCTGGTACTCTTGATCCACAAAGGTAAAATAATTTTAACACTTTTGGAACTGAAATCACCGCCCTCCGAACTGATCTCATTGCTCTCCGTTACGATTTCTAAGACTATACTGATGTGATGGTCGAGCAAATGGATAAGGTCTATCAGGAAATCTACACCATTCATAGATTCCTAGGTCCAGATGTCGGACATCATGGTGGTTGATCCATACATCGTTTTATTGTCTCTTTATTTTACACTTGAGCATTGAGAATATTGTTTTGTTTAAGTGTGGAGGAATTGTTCTATTACTTTCTAATTTAGGATTTTATTGCTTTCTAGTTTAGGATTTCATTATTATTTTGAATTAACTTAGGTTCGTCGAGCTAACGACATTAAGCAAAGCGTTGTGTGGGAGGAAACCTACAACATATTTTTTATTCCTATTTTCTTTATCCATTCAATTTTTTCAGTTGTTCTACTTCATTCATGATTTTTCAATACTTTCATACATTTTTTTGTTTTTATTTATGCAACTTTAGTTGTATCTGCTGCATCAGTACTAACATAGGCCCAATCCAAAGCCAAATGCAACCAACGTTTCAAAATTCATGCACAAAAATAGTTTTAATTTGATGGCGTTCGCCACCTAGTTTGGTGTTCGCCATAAGCCTGGCGTTAGTCAGACTGCTAGCACGCTGCCCAATACGAAAATTCCCCATTTTTTCTCAATTTTTTCACACGAAATTATACCCATTTCCTCCATTTTCTTACCACTATTCATCTCCCTCATCTTAATTTCTTCATCTCCACAACTTCCAACGACTCACATCCTATTAATACACCACCATTAACACTCATCTTCCAACTTTCACCCACTCACCAATTAATCCCACCATTTTCCCATAAACCTCTCATAAGTTCCACTACCCACTCTTCCACTTCTACAAATACCCATTCTCATCACTCATATCTCAAAATTCTTCATATCTCCAAATTCTTCAAATACTCACCAATGGCAAGTCTGAAAGCATTGTGTTTAAAGCAAGAGAAGATGGCGAAGATCAATGAAGCAAACTCCAAGCTCTTGCCTGCAGTTCCATTTATGCTACAAGGTACGCAGATAATTTTTGCTTACACACTTTAGGATTAACCGATTGTGTATATTGGATGTTAGAGAGGGCTGATTTAGTACACTTTTGTGCATGTAGAGATCTCACTTACATTAGAATTTTTTAGCTATCTAATTTACACCACACGACCCGACTCTGCTAGCACCATAGGGGTTGTTAGGTTCATGATGTTTAACAGAGAATATATGTATAACATTAATGATCTTGCTGCTATGTTGCGTTTTCCTTCTAGAGAAGGCACGCTTTGTGAGACAGACGCAGACTGGGTATTCACTGTTTGGAGTATCTTGGGAGCAATTAATTGGTTTTAACACTGACAACTTTGCTGGTAATGTGGCCTCTCAGATCCACAACCTAACCATACGCTATTTTCGTCAGATATTGGCAGACACCATTTTTGGCCAGGATAATACTAACAAGACTGATGCTGAAGAACTATTTTATATGCAATGTATATTATCTGAGGACCAACCACAATAGCGGATAAATTCGGGAAAATTTTTCCAGCATGCCATTCTCTTACATGTTATTTTCCATTATACCATTCGTTTCATGTTATTTTCCATTATACCATGGTTTCAAACAAGTTTGCGTTATTGGAGAAGCACTTCCGCCCTTCCAATGGGCGGCAAGGTGCATTTTTTAGGACAGCCGCCCTTTCAATGGGCGGCACAGTATAGCTACTATTTTTTTTTATTTTTTATTTTAATCAGTAATGTATTACTATTTATATTTATTATGTTTATTAGATTTAACTAAAAATCATAAAATAAATAAGTATAATAAATAAAAATAAATTAAAATTAAAATAATTATTTTTAAAATAGTATTATTTAAAATAAATTACTATATTTAAATATATAATAATTATTATAAAATAAAATACAATAAATAAACTAAAATAAATTTTTATTTATTCTTGAAATACATTAAAATAAAATACAAGAAATGAACTAAAATAAATGTCACCCCTAATTAATTTCGACCCGGTCGATGTAAGCGTTGGTGGGTTCCACAGGCAGGCGCTTGTACATTTCTGGTGGACCTTCTACGATCAACCTCAACGTTTTGGGGCTGTGTAGATGGTCCTGCATCATTGTTAGGGTTCATGAAGGAAGCGACCAAATCATCACTGAAATCGTCGTCATTTGGTATCGCCGCCGCACTTCCATAACTTATTCTTGTACCCTCGTTACTCCAACTTGGTGGGTTTAGAGGTGGCGGTGCGTTAGTAATGTAGGGAGTGTAAGGATTTTGGTCTTGAGAAATGGTGAAGTTTCGTGAAGGGTAAAAAGGAACTTGTGGTTGGGGTGTTTGGTAGTTGTGTTCTTGTTGGGTAGGTTGAGAGAATGAGAATTGGTTATATTGGGGGTATGATAAGGTTGGGTTTTGTTGTTGGATGTTGAAGGGGTTTAGGTTAAATGATGTGTAAGGTTGATTGTAGTGTTGGCTTGAGGTATAAGGTGGTTGTGTTGGGTTGGGGTTGAATGGGGTGTTAAATAATTGTTATGAAGTGTTAAATATTGGTTGTGGGGTGTTAAATATTGGTGGTTGGGTGTTACATGTCATGGAAGGGATGTTATGGAAGTTTGATGGAGTTGGTTGGCTTTGGATGTTTGATGAAGTTGGTTGGTTCCGAGGGTCCCACAAGTATCTATTTTGTGATAGATACAAATTGGTCACAGATCTATACCAACGCATGTATTCCCTACTGGGTTTACATTCGGTATCCATGACATTTCCTCGTAGAACAGTGCGACGACGATTTATCCAATGCTGATGTTCTTGTATGTTGTGGTCTCTCCAATTATCGAATTTCCATTGGTCGTTGGCCGTACTCTTGTGGTACATCTCCATGCATGTAGGTGGACCAGGAATGTCTTGTTTAATTCTGAATTGGAGTTTTACCCTATCTGAATGATGCATTTCAACATAAGTGAAAGAAAAAATGAACGTTGTAGGACTCCACATATCGCTTTCAGTTGGGTCCTCATCTTCAAGTTCAAGATAGGGTCTCCATATAAACTATAACATAATTAAAAAAGGATTAGAAAAAAAAATGGAAAGTGCTAGTAAAAAAATAAGGGAGTAGAGACAATACATCGTCTTCCTCAAAATGATCGAAGAACGTCTGATACCCAGGAGCACAATGATGCGGAGTTTTTTCGTAATTCATCCCATACGCAGACCACCTACGAAAGAAATAGTTAGTAAAAATTAAAGAT